GTGGGGGTCGCTGCCGAGGTTCTGGATGTGGGGGTCGCTGCTGAGGTTCTGGATGTGGTGGGGGTCACTGCTGAGGAGGTTCTGGATATGGGGGGGTCACTTGCTGGAGTTGCAAGGTGGGTCATGCTTGGAGCAGAGCAGCTCCGTGGCCTCCTATCATCCCCATCACTGACGTGCTCCTTTTTCATCCTCACAGGCAGCAATTCCATTTCCGTGAGGGCGTTTCTAGATGAAGATGACATGAGCTTGGAAGAAATAAAAAATCGGCAAAATACAGCTAGAAACAATGGCCAGCCCAGGATGGGTGCTTTTGGAAACGCGGGGTGCAGCGCCTTCCCCTCGGAGCAGGAGGCCGACCTCATAGAAACCTCAGAGCCAGGTGGTCTGTGCAGCGGCAGAAATGGGCTCTGCCCTCCTCTGAGTCACAGCAAGACCATGGAGGGCAAGAACGCAAAGGCACCCCGCGGGGAGGAAGCCCGTTTGCCACCTGTCACCGGTTTAACTGCTGAGTTTGATAAACTGAATTTGCAAAATCTAGGAAGCAGTATTTCTAAGACACCAGATGAAAATATGAAAACTAAAGATAAGATCCCAACTTCAAGAATCGATGCAGTAGGAAGTGACTTGGAGGCGGCTTCTCCTGCAGACCAACTCGGGAATGACCAGGGGAGGACAGAGTGGGAAATGTCAGCCAGGATTGCTAGAATGTCTTTGGGCCCCAGCTGCCCAGGGCACGAGGATCAGCAGCTCGAGCTCACGAGGGAATCAGCCAGGCGGCTCTTCCTTTTTGGGTAACTGTGCTCCCGTGTGCATGCCTGCGGCACTGTTTTTAAACCTCTTCCTTTCCCACACACACTTTCTTTTTTTTGTTGAGAGGGAATCTCGCTCTGTCATCCAGGCTGGAGTGCAGCGGCGCCATCTCAGCTCCCTGCAACCTTCACCTCCCGCCTTCTAGCGATTCTCCTGCCTCAGCCTCCTGAGTAGCTGGGACTACAGGTGCCCACCATCCTGCCTGGCTAATTTTTATACTTTTGGTAGAGACAGGCTGACCTTAGGTGATCTGCCCACCTCGGCCTCCCACAGTGCTGGGATGACAGGCCTGACCACCGCACCTGGCCCCCACACAGACCTCCACGTGGACTTGACATGTGCTTTCAGCTCCCATGTTTGAGTTTGTAGCTTCTAGGTGTCCTTCAGAGTTTCCTTCCACTTGGACTCTGGCTGGTCCTAGTGTTTGCTGTTATTTGCTAGGGAAGTGCCTGCCACCAGTGTCATTGATCTGTTCTATGAACTAGATTATTTTAAGAAGAAAGTTGGCCGGTGTGGTAGCTTACACCTGTAATCCCTGCACTTTGGGAGGCCAAGGCGGGCGGATCATTTGAAGTCAAGACATCAAGACCGTCCTGGTCAACATGGTGAAACCCCCGTCTCTACTAAAAATACAAAAATTAGCTGGGTATTGTGGCACATGCCTGTAATTCTAGCTACTCAGGAGGCAGAGGCAGAGAATCGCTTGAACCCGGGAGGCAGTGGTTGCAGTGAGCTGAGATGGCGCTGTTATACTCCAGGCTGGGCGACAGAGTGAGACTCTGTCTCAAAAAAAAAAAAAAAAGTGATATTTTAGAATTCTTTATTTTTTTTACCAAAGATATTTTAGCTTCTTGTATTGTGCTTTCTAGAGAGGAGCCGTCAAAACTAGATCAGGATGTTTTGGCTGCTCTTGAATGTGTGGACGTGGACCCCCATCAGTTCCCGGCTGTGCACAGATGGAAGAGTGCTGTCCTGTGCTACTCGTCCTCCGACAGACAGAGGTACATGGGACCCACCCAGACAGCCGCGCCAGTTCACATGAACGTATCAGTGGCTCTTGCGTAACGCCGGCAGGCCAGTCAGCCAGGCTATGGGTTTGTGTGTTGTGGCTCTCTGCACCCAGGACAGGTCTCTAGTTGGGTGGAAACTAGAACAGGTCTGCTGCTGAGAAGCTGAGGGCTGTGGGGGCAGAAACAGGATTTGTAGTCGGGGTCACACAAGACACCCCTGGGAACCCCATGAGCTCGACTCTCCCAGTGCCGCTGTGCCGGGACTCTGCAGCACCTCTCCTCCTCCTGGGTGACGTGCCCGAGTCCTGGGCCCCATGCCCAAGTCCTGGGCCCCCACTTCCCAGCGCTCTCTCTGTTCATCTCCAGGCCTGCCATCTGCTGACTGTTCTTTCTTGCTTTCTGTAGTTGGCCAAGCCCCGCGCTGAAAGGAAAGTTCAAGTCTTGGCTGCCGGATCTCAGCAGACCTCACAGCTACAGTCCAGGGAGAAATGGTGCAGCCGGGAGCAGCCCCAGAAAGCCGGGCCCGGGCAGCCCTGGGCGCTACAGCCCCGTGCACGGGAGCCAGCTCCGCAGGATGGCGCGCCTGGCCGAGCTCACTGCCCTGTAGGCTCATAGCTGGGGCTCCTTTCACTCTTCATTTTTAAAGGAAGAAGGGTCATATGTTTATTGCTAAAATGTCACAAAGGAGTATATTCTTATTAAATTATTAATCCTCACTTTCAGGGTGTGAGAATTTTAGAAAATTTACATGTTCTCTATAAAACTTAGATTTCTGATATTTTGGAAGAAGTTATGTTACTGAAACTCAGATACCAGTTTTCTGGAAAATGTCAGTGTGGTAATAGACTTCAGGTGGCAATGTCTAGGTCTGAAATGTAGCAGAGGAAACGGTGGGGAGGGCAGGCAGCCATGCACTCACTGCAGTATCCCACACGCTGTGGACGGGGCCAGCCACGCACCCACCACAGTATCCCA